GCATATGCAGACATAATAATAATCAATCCTAGGTTCATCAATAAATATGGAAATTGGTCTAAAAATATATATCCAAAAATAAAATATAGATACATCAGAAAATATCCAAAAAATGGCTAACTGGCATATGGTTATTTAACAACACTTATTCAGTTGTATACATTAAAGAGATAAATGTTAAATCAATTTCTGAACAATGAATTACAGTGAGTCTGGAACAGAATTGTTTCAGTCCACTTTAAGAGAGAGCACCAACATCTGCTCAGAGGGACTGAGAAATTCCAAAAAAGAATCCCAGTCACAAGACCTACCTCTGGTACAAGATTCAAACACATACGCTACCTTCAGAACACGAACCAGGACTACCAACCACAAGACAAAAACATTTGGTCAGTGGAACATCATCATGCATAAAGTATTGCTAACAAAGTGATAAATAATGTACTAATAACAAAATGTATGCAGGATAAAAAGGTAAATGTAAAGTTATCCCTGTACTTAATTAAGCATTATGCCATGAAGATGTATGGGGGAGTGGCTGTATAGAACCTCTTATTCTTAACCTTGGCACTAGTCAAAGGTTAGTGGTCAGCTTGAGACTCCAGCCGCTGGTAAGTAAGGCACACCTAACAAAGAGGTAATGAAGTACAGATAAGACAAAGACAAACTAATTATAGCTAATAAAAGTCAACAAAGTAGAGCTAAGAGAAAATCAAATAAATCTCATCTATCAAAAGGTACACAAAATACTAAATTACAGCTAACAGAGGGGCAGACATACACTAGCCAACAAATTTAAACAGAGTAAAACTAGTACAATATTGTAGGTTCATGTTGCACTTGTTGCAATCATATAATTCACAGGGGCAACTTCTTGTGTTCATAGGTTAGTGGCCTGCTATGTTATCATATATTATAGTTGTTTCTTCTAAAACACATTTCCACCTTAATCAGGTCATCATCAGGTAAATAATATACTGTATTGTTCTTCATTCTTTGTTCCAAAATTTTATTAAATCTCAGTTAAATCATGTCTAAACTGTTGCTGAATTCAGTAAATATGTTACAAACCTTGTTACTTTCTTATTAGTCTACCGTTTCTTGAACTGTAGCGTGGGCTGTGCCTGCAAGTATGGAGTCTTGTTCTGGCATGGAACAGTTATGCTGTATATGAAGGTTCTCAATGTTCTTTATGATGTAGTTTCACGTCACTTTTGTGGACAGTTGCTCAGTAACAATACGATGAAGGAACCACATAAATAATCTACCTGACGATGACCTCAAGTGAGCCAGTGCAGCCAGTATAGCGACTGGCCACAAGCTGGACGGCCAAAGGTCAGAATTTGTGTCCAGGTATTGGCTAGATTTCTCCTCTCGACGTCATCCAGACTGGTTCTGGAGTCCATCCAACAGCTACCAGGGGTAAAGCGGATGGGACGTGAAGCTGACCACTCACCTCCAACCCATGCCAAGGTCAAGATTACATGGATTTATACATCAATTCCTCCATACACCTCCATGATGTATTGTTTAATCAGTTAAGCACATGGGCAACTTTATCTGATGATTATCTCATAAGGTCAGAATGTGTTGTAGAAGAAATGACTATAACACATCACCAGTCCGCAAACACAAGATGTTATACATCAAGACTGCCCTTGTGAACGACATAATGTACAGCCTGTCAGAAAGTTAAGATACACTTAAAAAAAAAAGCAGAGCTAATGAAAAGCAAATATGCTGTAGCTAACATAAAGGTGAATAAAGTATAGCTAATAAGGGGGCAGAATATATAGCCAACAAAATTAAAGAGTATAGCTAACAAGAAGGTACACAAAATATAGATAATGCAAATAGTAATCTTTCTACTCTAGTGGTGAGTTATCTTTATGGTTCCTATCCTGAGACAGAAGAATCCTGTCCATACCCTCCCATCTATACTAAATTACTTCCAGTGGCCTCTCTCCTTCATGTTTTCCTATCAGCCCTTTATATACGTCCCTTCTCCCCTGTCCAGTCCACCTCAACCACCTGATTTCGTGATTCCATACAGCAAGGAGTACAGATTATTAATAATCTCTCTTCCTCATTTCCTCAAGGTAGCAAATATTCTCCTCCCTAGTCTAGGGATTTAATTCATGCGGTCTGCTGGACCCCATGTAGTCTGGTGCGCAAGTATAAAGGTTTCAAAGAATCACAGTGCCTCTGTCTTCGACACGGAGTTGCTAATCACTAACCATACTTCAACACGTATCACAGACAACAAGACCTAACATGAATCTTTGCCATGACCATAAAAACTTCAAATCTTACTTGGGTATCTAACGTATGTTGAGAATAGCTAATGATGATTATCATCATGACCATTAGCAGGGCTATGCGCTGGAAGATAGGGGGTTGACTCCTGTACAAAGAATATCTCAGGACTCAACAACAAAGAATATCTCAGGACTCAACAGCCCCTTGTCCCATTATGATTCCCTCCCCAGGGGTAAAACTGCTAGGGCATGAAGCAACTACCCAGTTCCATCCATAACTGATGTTAAGAATTGGCAGATTTTTATCTCATCTCCTCCATACATCTTCATGGATAGTACTTATCCTTGCATTTAGTCCAATATTCACCATTCATATAAAGCCACTTCTTCAAATTTCAACTGCAAAATCTGAAAAATGTTATCTCTAGCTACACTATTTACATGTAACCCTGTCACTGAGGAACACCCAAAGTCATAATTTAAAATATGCATTCTGTGACATGAGCTTAACAAGATCTGCAAACACAGCTTCAAACAATAAGCACAATAAAACAAGAAATATCAAACCTTAGCCTTTTAAACATATAGATATCAAAAATTTCTTATATATAAGCAGGTCTTTAGATCTTCAAGGCATATCATATGTTATGCATCAGTATTTTTTATTACCAGAAAACTAATACAAAAATTTATTACAGCTTCATGTACATTTGGAATGATACTAAAATTAAATTTGAAGAGTATTAACTTCTGCAATGTTGGGCAGCATAATCTTGTAGAAATTCACCAACATTTCAGAGGAAATTTGTCTTCAGGGACAAAAAAGAAGCCGAGTAAGCCATTGGTGCACTTGTTTTTCTACCCTGAAGATCAAGGCACCACATTCTTCTGAAGTGAATGTGAACTTTTACCAGACTACACCACATTACAGCAGACACTATTCTTTAGAGCCACTGTGATGGGGGCTGAGGTCCCAAAACATTGGTTTTTAACTCAACACTGACACAACTGGCTACAAAGATTTCATTGCAGTCATGTATATTGTTGGCATGCAAAATGAATACAAGAATTGCATCATGTAGGTGTATCCATATTTCTCACTCCCATTCAAAACTTTCAGTCTGTTTTCTGACAGCTTTTCTTGTACAGCTGATTTTCAATTGGTTCTTTATATTCTAAAAGCAATGCTGTCGCAACAGACGGAAGTATTCGTATTATTCGTATTATGAGAGGGGGTGGGTTACCCCATGCACTTAGACCAGTTATTGGTCCATTGTGAACAGACGGAAGTAACCTTCACTCTTAAAATGAGATATGGCTTTATCGCAATAACAATTCTTGAAAAATGTTCTGAGTTGTTTGACTTCTGTAAAGACAACAAAAGAGAGAGGATTAGCATCTATATGCCTTTATTTCAATTAAATTAAACATATTATTCAGTGGTTGTTACAAGGTATACAAGCGAAAGTGGAGAGTGAAAATAAATAAAATTATACTTACATGTGGAAGCGTGTAGACTATCCAGCATATCAATAGCCGGTTCTTCTTTAACTGTGTTATTGGTTCCAGGTCCAGCTTCACTAACACCTACATTCCTCACAACGGTAAAAACAAAGTAAAAGTACACCAAAATGGCAAGAGATGTCACGGATGTAGCAGTGTTCCCATTTTTCTGTTAGTAAAAATGGCATATGCAACACACTTCCATGAACGCTCATGGTTTATATACACCACAAATCAAAATACAAATACATAAAGCTGCTAGTATTACTACAAACATGATTTAAAACACGCTCTTATGTAAATATCAACATTCACCTTTGGTTACTAACATATTCTCCAACATTACACCATATATCACTGCAAACATAAAAAAACATGTCTTCAGAACTGTCTGAAGAGAACGCAATGACATTAGAACTTGTACCTGATGCACAATACATACAGAGCTCTGCTTCTTGCCTGTCTCTTGCTTTGTTCATTCTTCTGAAACCTGAAGAAAAAGGCGATGTGCTCCTCTCAAACATCAGTTGACTTTCATTGGCATCATATCCCAGAAGACAGAAAGCTGCATGGCCACCCTGTGAGAACCTCAAGTCCTACAGGAACACCTATGATGAAATATAAAGGGAAAACGGAGAGAACTGCAAGAAAACACGAGAGTGAGTGAGAAATAAACTCAGACCNGGTATCTAACGTATGTTGAGAATAGCTAATGATGATTATCATCATGACCATTAGCAGGGCTATGCGCTGGAAGATAGGGGGTTGACTCCTGTACAAAGAATATCTCAGGACTCAACAACCCCTTGTCCCATTATGATTCCCTCCCCAGGGGTAAAACTGCTAGGGCATGAAGCAACTACCCAGTTCCATCCATAACTGATGTTAAGAATTGGCAGATTTTTATCTCATCTCCTCCATACATCTTCATGGATAGTACTTATCCTTGCATTTAGTCCAATATTCACCATTCATATAAAGCCACTTCTTCAAATTTCAACTGCAAAATCTGAAAAATGTTATCTCTAGCTACACTATTTACATGTAACCCTGTCACTGAGGAACACCCAAAGTCATAATTTAAAATATGCATTCTGTGACATGAGCTTAACAAGATCTGCAAACACAGCTTCAAACAATAAGCACAATAAAACAAGAAATATCAAACCTTAGCCTTTTAAACATATAGATATCAAAAATTTCTTATATATAAGCAGGTCTTTAGATCTTCAAGGCATATCATATGTTATGCATCAGTATTTTTTATTACCAGAAAACTAATACAAAAATTTATTACAGCTTCATGTACATTTGGAATGATACTAAAATTAAATTTGAAGAGTATTAACTTCTGCAATGTTGGGCAGCATAATCTTGTAGAAATTCACCAACATTTCAGAGGAAATTTGTCTTCAGGGACAAAAAAGAAGCCGAGTAAGCCATTGGTGCACTTGTTTTTCTACCCTGAAGATCAAGGCACCACATTCTTCTGAAGTGAATGTGAACTTTTACCAGACTACACCACATTACAGCAGACACTATTCTTTAGAGCCACTGTGATGGGGGCTGAGGTCCCAAAACATTGGTTTTTAACTCAACACTGACACAACTGGCTACAAAGATTTCATTGCAGTCATGTATATTGTTGGCATGCAAAATGAATACAAGAATTGCATCATGTAGGTGTATCCATATTTCTCACTCCCATTCAAAACTTTCAGTCTGTTTTCTGACAGCTTTTCTTGTACAGCTGATTTTCAATTGGTTCTTTATATTCTAAAAGCAATGCTGTCGCAACAGACGGAAGTATTCGTATTATTCGTATTATGAGAGGGGGTGGGTTACCCCATGCACTTAGACCAGTTATTGGTCCATTGTGAACAGACGGAAGTAACCTTCACTCTTAAAATGAGATATGGCTTTATCGCAATAACAATTCTTGAAAAATGTTCTGAGTTGTTTGACTTCTGTAAAGACAACAAAAGAGAGAGGATTAGCATCTATATGCCTTTATTTCAATTAAATTAAACATATTATTCAGTGGTTGTTACAAGGTATACAAGCAAAAGTGGAGAGTGAAAATAAATAAAATTATACTTACATGTGGAAGCGTGTAGACTATCCAGCATATCAATAGCCGGTTCTTCTTTAACTGTGTTATTGGTTCCAGGTCCAGCTTCACTAACACCTACATTCCTCACAACGGTAAAAACAAAGTAAAAGTACACCAAAATGGCAAGAGATGTCACGGATGTAGCAGTGTTCCCATTTTTCTGTTAGTAAAAATGGCATATGCAACACACTTCCATGAACGCTCATGGTTTATATACACCACAAATCAAAATACAAATACATAAAGCTGCTAGTATTACTACAAACATGATTTAAAACACGCTCTTATGTAAATATCAACATTCACCTTTGGTTACTAACATATTCTCCAACATTACACCATATATCACTGCAAACATAAAAAAACATGTCTTCAGAACTGTCTGAAGAGAACGCAATGACATTAGAACTTGTACCTGATGCACAATACATACAGAGCTCTGCTTCTTGCCTGTCTCTTGCTTTGTTCATTCTTCTGAAACCTGAAGAAAAAGGCGATGTGCTCCTCTCAAACATCAGTTGACTTTCATTGGCATCATATCCCAGAAGACAGAAAGCTGCATGGCCACCCTGTGAGAACCTCAAGTCCTACAGGAACACCTATGATGAAATATAAAGGGAAAACGGAGAGAACTGCAAGAAAACACGAGAGTGAGTGAGAAATAAACTCAGACCACAAGCAGTCAGTAAGGGTAGCAACAGAAACATAAGAGAGACGATGAAGTGCAGAACCAGGAACCTTGTTGCTCCAAAGTGTAAAGAGCAACACTCACTCACTCACTCACTCATGGAGCTGAGCCCTTCTTGAGAAGCCGCCAATTGTGCAGCTACTCAAGAATTTCCCAGCATTTTATGGAAACCAAAGGTTTATTAACGTGTTCACGAGAGCCCTCCACTGGTCCCTATCCTGAGCCAGATCAATCCAATCCATACCATCCAATTCTCTCTCTCTTAAGATCCATTTTAATACTGTCCACCCACCTACATCTTGGTCTTCCCAATGGTCTCTTTCCCACCAATATTCTATATGCATTCCTCTCCTCTCCCATTCATGCTACATGCCCTGCCCACCTCATCCTCCTTGACTTGTTCAGTCTAATTATACTTGGAGAAGAGTACATGTTATGAAACCCCAACCTCCAACCACAGGCAGGTATGGACAGGATAACCACAATAAACACACAGGCAGTGCAGCATCACGTACGCTGTAATGTGAGAGGACTGGTTACATGGATCCAGAAATTTAGACACTTGGGCTTGATTGTGAAACAGACCCATACCTGACAAGACTGGTGACAGAACAGAGCCATACCTAGTAGTACCAGCGTTGCTGAGGATGGAGCCTTATGGTAAAACTGATGCTGTTGTAGATGGAGCCTCATCTGGAACCAGAGCTGCTGACGGAGCCTTGTGGCAGAACCAGGGATGCTGAATGTGGAGCATTATCCAGTGAAACCAGTGTTGCTAAAGATGGAGCCTTGTGGTGGACCCAGGGGTTGCTGGGTGTGGAGCCTTGTGGTAGAACCAGGGGTTACTGAGTGTGGAGCCTTACTAGTGGAACCAGTGCTGCTGGGTATGACGCCTGATGCTGGAACCAGGGTAGCTGAGTACAGAGCCTTGTAGCAGAACCAGGGGCTGCTGAATGTGGAGCCTTACTAGTGGAACCAGTGCTGCTGGGTACAACACCTGATGCTGGAACCAGTGTAACAGAGTACTGAGCCTTGTTCTCGAACCAGAGGTTGCTGAGTGTGGAGCCCTGTGGTAGAACCAGGGAGCTGCTGAGTGTGGAGCCTTACCTAGTGGAACCAGTGCTGCTGGGTATGACACCTGATGCTGGAACCAGTGTAGCTGAGTATGGAGCCTTGTGGCAGAACCAGGGGCTGCTGAGTGTCGAGCCTTACTAGTGGAACCAGTGCCACTGGGTACAACACCTGATGCTGGAACCAGTGTAGCAGAGTACTCCGCCTTGTGCTCAAATCAGTGTTGCTAAGTGCTGAGCCTTATGTAGTGGAAACAGTGTTGCCGATGATGGAGCCATCCCAAAGTGTACCTTCTTCATAAGTCAGCTGCTACAGTCACAGTGCATAGACAGTATACATCCCCATATAACTGACACGATGCACTGCTGCGCACGTATGCAATCCGATAACTAAACTGCTCTTAATTTCTCTCGGAATATCTCTGATCTGAACATAAACAAACTCCGCAAGCGAACTACACTGACCGAGCGACCATCTCTTGTCTGTGAAGTTAGTGCCAACTTTAGCGGATAGAGGGTGTCGCGTGGTCAGCGCGACAGATCCCCACGGCTGTTAATCTCGGATTTCTAGACCGCTCTGATCCGAACATAGAGACATTAAACAATAAGACACTGAACTGTCTCATAAATGTATCCAAAGTGCCTTTGTTAATTCTAAAATGTGTTGCACGTGGCTTTCTCTACGGTGCGGACAGATGCAAACTCTCCAGTCCACATTCCCTTCACACTAATTACTTAATGTGTAACATAAACTCCTCTTAACCTACAGCCTTATTTATCATCACTCATATTCTTACATGGGTTTAACTGATCTGGGTTAAACATCAAATTAATCTATTTGGAATTATCCACTTATTTAGCCTAATAAAAGTAAACATTTCCCTTGAAGAGTACTGTATTCTAAGATGTAACTTCACTTAGTATGACACTTATCTACAAATGTTAACGATTCTACCTGAAGATGGAAGCAGCAGGCTCTTCCAAAACATTAGAAATATCTACCAGACCACACAGCATGACAATAAAACTGAACGCGGGCAAGACGTGACATCATACATACTGGCGAGTGTCAAGCCTGTAGCTTGGTGGCTGGAATTATACCATTCACTCATGTAACAATTTCATGAAACTAAACTGTTCCTTCTGCAAATATGAACTCTTCATTATCAGCGTCAAGTAAACAAAGAGAGAGATACCGTTCTTCTAATGCCTTCATTTCCTCCTATGTGCAGCAATGTGAGTTCCATTACAATGCAAAACAGATTTTCTCATACCATTTACGTCTTTAAATTCCATGGCGGCGTCTCTGATGGTTGTTCAGCATTCTGTCAACCTGAACTACAATACCATGTCAAGCTTGTTACAGATTCCAATCATTGTATTTATTTAATTACCCACATAATCAGCATCCTCACTGGCTTGTTTGAGGTTCAGGCCACTCGCCATAGCATAACCCATCTTCAGAGTGGAATTGGTGATGCAGGCATGGTGACCGCTGCATCAGTTTGACACCCAGGGTCCTGACTTCAACTAATCTCATGACCAGCATGCCCAGAAACAACATCCACATCTGTAAATAAGTAAAGAGCAAATTGATTAGTTAACATGTACTTTCATTTGTTTTGAAAATTACTGTGTTCATTTATTTGCTTCTGCTGTATGTTGGAGGCTGTTCTCTGTTGCAGACAGTGCCATAGTTGCAGTCTGACCTTTGTCACCACTGACTCACTCATGGACCTGACCCCTTCTTGAGAAACTTGCAATTCTGCAGCTACTCAAGAACTTCCCTGAATTTTATGGACACTGAAGGTTCATTGCCGTGTTCACAAGAGCACTCCACTGGTCCCTACGCTGAGGCTTCCACAACCCAGAGGTTAAGGTCATGAAGAGGAAACCTATGTAACGAGGTACATTTGTGACCAAGAGGGCAGACTATTGCACAGTGCCTTAACTAGAACTTAACCTACAAATTTATAAACCAATTTCACTCTCCTGTACAGAAATTCCTTATATTTTATTCTACTTCTTCTTACATGAACTAATTACAGCGGAAATTGTAACACAAACCAGTCACAATGTGACGTCCCTTACATTTAGAGCAAATGATACACAGCTTGGAATCATCCTTTTCCATTACGTTTCCTACAAACTCCTCTCCGTTATCTTCTGTATACCAACGTAATTCATTATAAATATATATTAAAACTTGATTTAATACTAACCAAGAATATAGGCACACACAGGAAAACAACGCCTTCACCCTAACAGGTCCAAAACGAGAGCGCCGATATTACGACAGGTTGAGTCGTGTAAGGTAGAATTTCCTTTGCAAACCTGTGAAATCTATGGCATTCTAAACGTTTAACTCCAAATGAAAATTACTGAATTATACAGCAGACACAAACCTTTTGTGACTACATGAATACTTTCTTAAATTTAAAAAAATACACTTCATCAACTCTGACGTCATTAGCAAAACACTTCTATAACCTAACGCCATCTCGTAGGAAGGTGTCGTAACTGTTTGTGGAGAGAGTAGCAATTCCTTTCGTCGTCGGTTAAGTACGAATGTGTTGGATTATAGTTCTCAAGTTGGTGACCATGAAGGGATCCGTTCGGTCTTCTGGGATCCGGGCGTATTTCATAACCTGCCTGGAGAATTTCTTATGACACGATGTTGCGATCTTAGCTACTGTTAAGAAGGCCTGAGCAACCAAAAAAGAAGAGCACTGAAATTTTCACATAAGAACTGACATGAGGCGAAAATATTGAAACGTAGAATTTCTTATTCTTTTTTACATCATGCAGTATCCATTGGGTTAGACTGCATTATATTTTTAGACGGTTAGTAGCCGGTTTTTCATCAAGACGGCCCAGGTTCAATCCCAGGACAGTTTATGTTGGATTTCTGGTGAATAAAAGTGACGGCGGGATGTTTTTAAATATTCCAATGTCCCCTGCCAATTCTCATTCCACCAAATGGTCAATTTCTCTCATCAGTCATTCGGGGCAATGTCACAATCCCTCTGAGAGGGAGACAGAAAGAACGACTTAATTAGGAACTTACGTTCACGCCTTTTAAGAATATTTTTACAGATCATCCTAAGCAGTGTTCCTCAACCGACGGGCAGCGGCCCGGTACCGGGCCCACGTCTTACAGAAAGAAGAAGTTACCGGGCAGCGGCCTGGCAAAGATTGATAACCACTGTACTGAATATGTAAGAATAAATAACTTCATGAAGCTGGGCCCTTCTTGAGAAGCCGCCAGTTGTGCAGCTACTCAAGAATTTCCCAGCATTTTATGGAACCCGAAGGTTCATTACCGTGTTCATAAAAGCCCTCCACTAGTCCCTATCCTGAGCCAGATCGATCTAGTCCATACTTTCCCATCCTATCTCTCTAAGATCAATTTTAATACTATCCAACCACCTACGTCTTGGTCTTCATAGTGGTCTCTTTCCTTCTGACTTTTCCACCAATATCCTATATACGTTCCTCTTCGTCCCCATTCGTACTACATGCCCTGACCATCACATCCTCCTTGACTTGATCATTCTAATTATACTTGGAGTGGAGTACAAGTTGTAAAACTCCTCATTATGCATCTTTCTCCAACCTCCCGTCCCTTCATCTCTCTTCGGTTCAAATATTCTCCTCAGCACCCTGTTCTCAAACACCTTCTGTCCCTATTAAACGCAACACACCTTTTCACACATAATAACGACATTACGTAATTTCTGAGGCTTGAATCAAAATCGAAGAAACGAATCCCAAATCAGTGGTGATGACCCAGGGACTTAGACGCTGGGTTGTGACACAGACATATACTTTGCAAGCCGCTACCAAGCAACGGTTAGTGAAGAGTGAGAAGACTTTACGTCTGCTGTAGTTAACTGTGAGTGTCTAACTCAGTGAGACCGCCGTAGTTATTTGTATTTACGTTCCGTCAAGTGTTCAGCAAACCCGATTACCAACCCAAACCCCGTCTATAGTCACTCCATCACGTGACAATATTATGAGAGTTACTATCAACAATTTAGGTTCAGGTCCGTAGACTGGCCACCAATTCCGATATTCTTCGCTATTTTCCTCAGTTCTTCTAGGCAAACACCACGATGGTGCAGCAGATTAGGCCGAAATCGACTGCATCAACAGGTTATCGCATTCACCATTTCTCACCATACAGACATCCGATTCTACAAACAAAAGATAGTTTGGGCCCCTGGCATCGCCGTTAAATAGTTCTTCAATTGGGTTATTTAATTATGCTGTCAGTATCGACACTATACAGCGTTGATGACTGGATGATTAATCAGTATAGAGCAGTTGGTGGAATGAAAATTGGCATGGAAGGCCGAAATACTGGGAGAAAACTCGCCCCCCGTACCACCTTCTTTACCACAAATCCCACATGACCAGAAGTCATGTCGAAACCGGACCGTTGCGTTGGGAAGCCTATGACTAACCTCCCGAGCTATGGTACAGCCAGTAAATGGCGTAAGTTATATAAAACTCCCTCAGAACTTAATAGGATCGTATTCCAATGAGGTGGTTTTTTCAATTTACCTAATCCTTCCAGCCGCACTATGGCCCTGGGGTCGACTCAGCTTCTAACAGAAATGAGTACCAGGATTCTTCCTGGGGGGTTAAGGGAGGCCGGCGCGTAAGGCTGACAACGTTACCGCCATCTATGAGCCGACTGTCTGGAAAATGTGGGAACCTCAACATCTCACAACCCTATGGGCCTCCACGGCCTGTTACAGGAATACCTTTACTTTTTACTTTTGCAGAACTTAATATGTAGGGGAAGAAATCGCCCCAAATAATTCTTTGCTCCATAATTCAGATGAATATATGTCAGATACTGTCAGATTATATCAATATTTCGTAAGAGTCGAAATTTTCGACACCTGGCGTTTTTAGGGCTAATTCTCAGAATTTCATGCGGAAAGTCCACTACAATTTTGTAACTTGGGGGTGTAAATAATTTCACTGTCTACACTTCTAAAAGCTTGCCTCTGTAATTTGCTCGAGTTCGTTACATAGCCATTTTTAATCTTTCAAACGAGGGAGTTGACTTCAGAAGTACAGAAAGTTACATACACTACGTAATCCTGTGCACACGCATCTTCATTTATTCAGTCGCTTTCCAGTGAAATATTCATAACAAACTCGTGCAGTTTCTTAACCCAGTGTCCCTGTGGTCATTGTCTGCGGGAAGCAAGAGCGAAATGGACAAGGAATCGCGATTTCGACTGTTTGACCACTTTTTCACATACTCAGGGCACCCTATATTGAAGAAAAGGAAATCCGTGATTTTTCGCATCTACTCATGGATGGCGTTTCTTGTCGCTTACGCATGTTGGCTGGGAGAGTACATCGAGTCTTTCAGACACTTGGACGACCTTGCAGAGATGCAAGATGCAGCCCGGATCGCCATTCCCCTCACCGCTTGCTATGGGATGGATTTGTATGTCAGGTGGGGTCATCTTGTGCTCATTTAATACAGTGGTAAAAGCGATTTCCGGTACGGGGTTATCCTGAAAGCACTGCTAACCGGAAATCGGCTGTGGAAATGATAATTAAAAACTGAAATGTTGGTGTTTTGTTTTATTCCGTCACCACAAAAGGTGGGGCACGCGGTAGCTCAGTTGGTTGAGGCACTATGCTACAAACCGGAAGATCGCGGGCTCGAGTCCCGATGAGGAGGATTTTTTTAGTTTACCTAATCCTTCCAGCCGCACTGTGGCCCTGGGGTCGACTCATCCTCTTAAAAGAAATGAGTACTAGGAATCTTCCTGGGGGTAAACGGCGGCCGGCGCGTAAGGGTGATAACCTCGCCGCCATCTGTGAGCCGATTGTCTAGATAATGTGGGACCCTCAACGTCTCACAACCATATGGGCCTCCACGGCCTGTTAGAGGGATACCATTACCATTTTTTTACCTTTTTACCACAAAAGGTAACAGGGACACAACATGCTTTCGTCATTTCTAATATGTTTCGGCTGACTGAGCCATGAACAGAATTTGACTTGTTTACTGCATTAGTTTGCTCGTGCTGCTGCGTCGGCCAGTGAAGCCAACACAAACAAGACACACCACTTCTCCCGAATACAGGAAACACAAACAAGGAGAACACGTAATCACACACGTAAAAGCCAACAGAACACAATTGCATCAATAAAGGGCCAGGATGAACCGCAAAGAGACACATCGAGAGAAGAGCTGCATCTGCACAGAACTACTACATCCAGGCAAGACTTAAGAAAACCTTTATATACGTTCGATTTTAATTATTTAACATTTTAATAATTAAGATTTGATCTTAAATGTGAACAATAACTTCATGGAGCTGCGTCCTTCTTGCGAAGCCGCCAATTGAGCAGCTACCCAAGAACTTCCCAGCATTTTATGGTACCTCAAGGTTCATTACCGTGTTCACAAGAGCCCTCCACTGGTCCCTATGCTGAGCCAGATCGATCCAGTCCGTACCACCAACGTATCTCGCTAAGAACCATTTTAATATTGTTCACCCACCTACGTCTTGGTCTTCCCAGAGATCTCTTTCTTCTGGCTTTCTCACCAATATCCTATACGCATTCCTCGTCTCCCCCATTCGTGCTACATGCCTTGCCCACCTCATCCTCGTTGACTTGATCATTCTAATTATACTTGGAGAAGAGCACAAGTTATGAAGCTCCTCATTATGCAGTTTTCTCCAACCTTCCGTCACTTCATCTGTCCTCAGCACACTGAACTCAAACACCCTCAAGTCTATGTTGAATGTAAACACACCTTTTTATATATAACGACATTATATACTCTTAAAGAACAGTATTCCAACATGTCAACACTGGCCAATGCAGGTGAATGTAAGAAGTAATCAAATGCCTGATGATGGCTCGATGACCCCGTACAAGTTGTAACAAACGACAAATGTATGGTAGGTCCGCAATTCCTACTGGGGTGAAGGGAGAAAGTAAAGTCATTTCTCTAACTCCCACACACACATACACAATATGACGCCAAGGTATAATGTTTCGGGCGTCTTTTTCGTTTTCTCTTAGAATAAACAAAGTGTCCCGGAATAGTACGAGTATATCCAAGGCTTACCTTCGTGCTCTTGGGAACATTTTGAATCAAAAAGTTCAAATAAACATGGGGGCCGATACGCAGCGTACGATTGTTATTATTATTTATTACCCTGGGGTCGACTCAGTCTCTAACAGAAATGGTACCAGGAATCTTCCTGGAGGTAAAGGGCGGCTGGTGCACAAGGCTGACAACCTCACCGCCATCTGCGAACCGACTGTATAGAAAATATGGGAGCCTCGACGGCTCACAACCTCATAGGCCTGCACGGTCTGTTACAGGTTCAAAACGGCCGCCTTCGCCAAGCTGCTGCAACAGGCTGAGCAGTTCACGTGGGAGGACTTCCCTATGACGGATGAATCCGGGAATAGGACAATTGCGGGTCTGTTGCCGATCATCAGAAAAGTGATGATCCATATGACGTGGCTAGTCACCGGGCCTCACACCATCTACATGTACATCCGCGGGGCAGATCCTGACACGCTTGGGCTCACCATGTGGACGCCGTTCGACATCAGACCAAGCCCACTGCACGAAATAGTCATCGCCATACAGGTTGCAGTTCTTTGTGTTGCCAAACTGTCTCTCCTTCTCTGCCGTCAACAAAACCCGAAGAAGGTTCGACACCGCTAACACCTAAGCCCGCACCAGTTCCACCAAGCTCCCATCCTCTGAGCCTACTTCCTTGACATCAATCTTACTAATTACCTAATTCTCTGGCGGCAGAACCCAAAGGTTCAACACCGCTGATACCAGAACCCTCCACTGAAGAACGTCCTGAGTAAGTACCATTCATCTCCTATCCTCACACGCCATTTCTCTAACCCTCGCTGGTCATGCAGGTTACCATATCGTAATACGTTCCTAAACCGATATATTTTGCAAGACCAGTAAAGTAAAGTGAAGTAAGTAAATGTATCCTGTAACAGGCGGTGGAGGCCCATAGGGTTGTGAGACGTTCAGGTTCCCACATGTTCTAGACAATCGGCTTATAGATGGCGCTAAGGTTGTCACCCTTACCGCCATCTGTGAGCCGACTGTCTAAAAAATTTTAAATCCTCGACGTCTCAGAGTCTTGTGGGCCTCCACGGCCTGTTACAAGGTTACCTTTACTTTTTTAGAATTTACGACATTAGAGGCGTCACATTCCCGAGGAGATCATTAACGTGAGGAGTATACAATTAAGGATGATCCGCGACAATGAACTTGGCAGTGTTTAGGATATTAAACAGAAGTTGGAGGTAGCGTCGGTGAATTTCTATCAGACTACACGGCACGCAGTAGCGTAGTTGGTTGATGCACTATGCTACAAGCCGGAAGGTCGCGGGATCGAATCCCGATAAGGTGGATTTTTTTCAACTTGCCTAATCCTTCCAGCCGTATTATGGCCCTGGGGTCGACTCAGCCTCTAACAGAAATGAGTACCAGGAATCTTCCTGGGGGTAAATGGCGGCCGGCGCGTAAGGCTGACAACCTTACCGCCATCTGTGAGCCGATGGTCTAGATGATGTGGGAGCCTTGACGTCTCACAACACTATGGGTCTCCACGGCCTGTTACAGGGATAGCTTTACGTTTTACTTTACTTTGCTACACGGTACCACATCCCAGAATGATGACAACTACGTTTTGCTCACATAGGCCTACTCTACCACGTACACCTTGTCCAACTTCCTGGGATATATGGGTCTGTACTCAACTCTGGCAACTATTGCGTGCATTCAGATGGAAAAGTTACATCAGCGTCTGAGAAACTACAGAAGAGAGGAGGTGACGAAGCCAGGCACTGAAGAGGACTATCTTCGAGAACAAATTCAATATCACCAAGATATTCTGAGGTAAGACGTAACGTCATGATCACTTTCAGCGTATTCTCTTACGTATCCATACTACTTAAATAGTCAATAAAACGACTGCGTTGACTGGTTGAGGCACTATGCTACAAGCCAGAAGGTCACATGTTCAATTCCCGATGCGGTCATTGGATTTTTCAATTGACCTAATCCTTCCAGCTGCACTGTGGCCCTCGGGTTGACTCAGCCTCTAATAGAAATGAGTACCAGGAATTTTCCTGGTGGTAGGGCGAGTAAGGCCGACAAGCTGCCCGCCATCTGTGAGCCGATTGTCTAGATAATGTGGGAGCCTCGACGTCTCACAACCCTATGGGCCTCCATGGCCTGTCACAGGGATACCTTTGCCTGAAATCTGTCTCCGTCTTCAGGTGAAGGCTTATTCAGTTGGGTTAAATTGATAGAGCTAGTCCCCGGTTGTAAAGCAGCCACCTGTCAAACTAAATGGAGCCTTTTTCTTTTGGTATATTCTACGACGCTTCTAGTGCCCAAGAATGGCAGGGTTATAGATCAATGAATTGGAAAGGATTTGTAAGGAAGCGGTAGTAGTTTAATCGTTGCATTTACTCAACATTGTCCTTGGAGGAACGAGGAAAACTATGGAAAATCCCAATCACGATACCTGGTGTTCCGATGAAATTCGAAGCAAGCACAAATCGTTAGGTCATTCTGCTCGGTTACACGGTGCTGCAAACCAGACTATTATATTGCGGCATGTAGACCCGTTACTAGCCAACGACCACGAAATAAGCAACTATACAACGGCCGTTACTAGGCAGCGGTCTGCAACAACAGAGGAAATGTGTTTTCTGTTCTGTCCGTGCCGAAATATTATAATCAAGACCAGTGGTAAGTCAGTGAGTGAGTTAGATAACGTCTGTGGTTCAGTCATAGTTAGCTGTTGCTGTGAGAAGCTGGTAGATGAGGCCAGGGACGTTGCGGGAACCCAGAGGAAAGGGAACGTCCGTTGTTGAAAGCCGTTATCAAGCAACGGCAGTGAAGACGTGACTGTGGACACTAGTGCATGTGTAAGAGTGAACTCTAAAGTGTAGTCATGCGCTGTATCAAAGAGTCCAATAAATCCGTCCATCAATCCAAATCCCGTCTATACTTACTAAAATCGTGATAATGTAATACTCGAATTTGATTTGTTTCATTCTGGTCCGTCACAATAACAATATTATAAAAGATAAAACAACTCCGTCCAGTGTGACTGATGAAGATTTTTACTACTTGAAAACTTAACACCCTCACATGTTTCGGTCCCTATAGACCGTCTTCAGAGGGACATCGATACTTTTTGGAAATTACTATTACAATGGTTGTTTTGAGTGTTAAAATACATATACATACAATGTTTGTAATGCACAATATATGCAAAATCCAACTTCTTCACAACTACAGCAGCTTTCTTGGTATATTAAAATTTTTAAAGTTTTTAAAACTTTGTTATTTAAGTTAAAATTTATAAACCAAATAGGTTCGTGTCCCTTCTCCTATTGTCTTTCTTGACGGGGGCTGAACTTGTGCCGCTTGTCTCTATTGAGAAGGAGATTCTAGGTGAAAAGAACACAGCACGCCACGAACAAACACAGGACGATACCAAGAACCTCCTTCTCAAGAGAGACAACCGGCACAAGTTCAGCCCCCGTCAAGAAAGACAATAGGAGAAGGGACACGAACCTATTTGGTTTATAAATTTTAACTTAAATAAAAAGTTTTAAAAACTTTAAAAATTTTAATATACCAAGAAAGCTGCTGTAGTTGTGAAGAAGTTGGATTTTGCATATATTGTGCATTAAAAACATTGTATGTATATGTATTTTAACACTCAAAACAACCATTGTAATAGTAGTTTCCAAAAAGTATCGATGTCCCTCTGATGATGGTCTATAGGGACCGAAACATGTAAGGGTGTTAAGTTTTCAAGTAGTAAAAACTTCAATAGTCACACCGGACGGAGTTCTTTTGTCTCTGTAATGTAACAGTCCTTTGAGGACTTGTATTCTATGGCTCTTGCAACCTTTGTTCCAGCTTTATTCGGGCTATAGACGACACGTTCAGCATGATGATGTTGGGTCATTTCCTCATGATCATCGGGGCCTTGTGCTTCGCTTCCATCTCCTTTGTCACGGTATGATGAATTTGCCTTCATTTTTTTGCATCATGTAGTCACGATATATCAATACATATGCCCCGCACACCGCCACAAAGATATACAATAAACACACATATCGAGTACCCTTTTTATTTACTTTAGCATCGAGAGAAAGTATTGACACTTTATTCATAACAATTTGATTGTAAAGTGGTTCCATTTCACTTATTATTTACCTTTTCACACTAGGCCCTCTGGTCAGTCTCCCATCAGAATTAATATGGAAATGTGGATTTTATGATAGTCGGTAGGACTCTTTGGATGGGGGATAAGCCCTTTCGCAAGTCATCTAAGTACACATAGGACAACACAAAACAGAAAAAACACGGACAGATATCCATACCTCGAGTAGAATTCAAACCCACTATCCCAGTGTTCGAGCGAGCAAAGACAGTTCATGTCAGACCGCGCGGCCACTGTTATCGGCTAAAGTTTATATAAAAAGCCAATAAAAACAAGTACGTGGTGCATATTCGTGTACTACCTGATGATGATCTAATACGATCGAAACATGTAGTGGATATACTCAATAAAACAAGTATTAAGACGATTTGAGGCTTTGACGGGGGTGACTATGAAGAAAGCAGTCTTCTGGGATTTGGCACCGTGTATATGTGGTGTTAACCGACGTTTCGGAGGAACGTATCGCCTCCATCTTCAGGGTAGAAGGAAAAATATAAGAAATCCGCAAGCGAAGAGACCGTCTGCTTTTACCGGTTCTCACGGTCTCATCGCTTGCGGATTTCTTATATTTTTCCTTCTACCCTGAAGATGGAGGCGATACGTTCCTCCGAAACGTCGGTTAACACCACATATACACGGTGCCAAATCCCAGAAGACTGCTTTCTTCAAGTATTAAGACGTTTTAATAACGATTTTATTGTTAACTGTTTTGTTGAACGTAGGACGTAACTTGAAGGCAATTTTACTAAAAATGTTATCATGTATAAATAATCTGGTGATGCAGATCTTTGCATCATCAGCGGAAATTTACTAGTTCATATTTGCGGCACGAGATGGGACTGAACGTGTCTTCCGTAAGATTGCCTACTCAGCGCGTGACGTGGTAACAGACATGTTTCAGACAAGCATTCAGTGAAATCCACTATGACGATTTTAAACGACCTTCCATTTTTCAGATCTGGCACAAAGTTGGTGATCTGCTTCAGACGATTTTCATATTATCCTCCTTTGTCATCATGCTGGGGATATTTTGCTGGTTCGGAGACCAGCTCAATGAAAGGGTATGCTACTGGTGGCTTTTAAGACAAACAAGAAGGCTCCACGAAATTTGTGTGGCGTTTTAATTGTAAGCTCAAGTTATTGATAAGTTCACGTAGGGCTCAATTTTCAAATAAAATCAGACTGAGATGGCTGGAAGATGTAGAGAATGATTTACCAGAGCTGACTGACGAGGAAGCAAAGGCAAATGATAAAACAGAATGAGTATTTGCACTAAAAAAGCAAAGTTTCGTTTAGGACCATAGAAAAAAGGAGTGAGTAAGTAAGTAAGTAAAGGTCTCAACTGTGAAGATTTCTATTTTTAATTCTTAACTATTACTAGCCTACTATCCTAAACAAGGTTTAGGCAACCTCCAGCTTGTGTCTCTACGTTGTTGTTGTTGTTGTTGTTGTTGTTGTTATTATTATTATTATTATTATTATTATTATTGACCCCGGAACAGCGCAGTCGGTACAGCGACTAGCTACAGGCTGGACGGCCGATAGGTCGAGTTCGAGTCCCGGTGGAGAGATTTTTCTCCGTTTCACGTCGTCCAGACGGGTTCTGGGGCCCACCCTGCCTCCTATCCAACGGGTATCCGGGGCCCCGGGAGTAAAGCAGCCGGGCCGTGACCCTCGCCAGTCATCTGCAACTAGGCCGAGGTCAAGAAAATGTGGATCTATACATTTACTCCCCCATACGTCTTCATGACTCAGTGCTATCTTAGTTAAGCACCAGAGAAATTTATGATTATTACAATTATTATTACTATTATTATATTTGGAGACGTCGCTGTTCCTAAGAACCAGACAGTAGCAGACACTCAGTGTTACCTGAAGTTCGGTGCGGGACCCACAGCAATCATTACTGTGTTCAGAAAACATTTATTCCACTGTCACGTGTCCGGGGTTCGCGTGACGAATAATAACGGGCATTGGATTGGATGATTGGATGTACTGACGCCTTCCTTGTACAGTCTCTCTTACTTACAATCAATACAGCGCCACCGCTTGTTTAATCGCTTCATAAATCACTAAAACATGCTATTTCCTGGCAACGGAACTCAACATAGAAACTATCACTTCAAATCACTCTCAAGTCTTCTTTTCATGTCTTCTCCTATCACCTTGTACTGCCGACTCTCCAGTCTCCGTGGTTCCTGACCTTCCTGACTCTGTACTCAACTGCACTCCTGCCCCAAGCAAGTCAAAGCCAAGTCATGTTACGACCGACGGTCAGTCGGCCAGTCTGTCTCGGAATAAAGCACCCATCTGGGGCTTACTACCAGATGGTTATTATTACTGTCAGACTGTTGCAGGCTTGTTGATGTGGGGCGCTCTCTCTGACGAGAGGACGGGTCTCTGGTTTGTGGCCCAAGCCAAGTCAAAGTCAAAGTCACATTACGACGAGGCCAGTCAGTAAGTCAGTCTTGGTGTCGAGCCCCTGAGGATGTTACAGTAGTAGTCGGCATTTACGGTTTGTCCTTGAGGCTGAATGCCGTGAGCAGTATGCCTTCGTGATCCCAGTCACCGCCTGGTTCCGACAGCAGCCCAAAGAATTTTATGCTGCTGGTTTCAGGGGCTTGTGAAACGATGGGACAAGTGCCTCAATGTACAGGGAGATTATGCTGAGAAATAAAAGCATTTTTCAAATCAGTACTCTTATTTGTTTCAGTTCTATATCCATTTTAACTTACTTATTGACTTACCCTCGTACAACATATACAGGGCCTCTGTCAGACCAGACTCAGTACAGCAGATTTTGCTCCTTTCTTAGTAGTTTCCGCTACAACGGCAGTCTAGTCACATGAACGGTCGTATGCTTGACCGCCACCAAGTTTAATAGATCCATATTTTCTTGACCTAGGCACTAGCTGAAGGTGAGGGGTTAGCTTCACGCCCCGGCCGCGTTACCCATGGGGAAAGAGCCCCCGGTACCCATTGGATAGGAGGTTGGGTATTTCTTTCCAGAGCTTCTTGTATTAATTTCGTCCGAGGAGCTAATTAAATTTTTGAAGGCAATCAATGTTTCTTCTTGCCAATTTCAGGCTATTAACGTTAAGCAAGCCATCTGGGACAGCGGATGGATTGGGGCGCCCATCCGGCAACAACGCAACATCGTCTTCATGATGGTTGCAGCGAACGAAGACTTCGCTCTCTCTGCGGGGGGCTTCGCCCCTGTGTCGCTCCGCACAATGATTGTAGTAAGGAACACTGAACACGCAGTCAGTAGTCAGTGTGTGACGTCATAGGAACTCAGTGCCTCTAAGGACATGGAAATCATGTATAGCCTATCTCATAATTTGTACTCCACTAAATGTTACTGGAATCATCCAACAAAATGGCGATAAGATGGGAGGACATGCAGCATACTTATGCAGAGAACAAGCGCACAATATGCATGCATCATAACCTGGAAATAGAGCAGTTAACTGCCCTGCTTTCTATTCGGAATATCCAGGGTTTAAATCTGGCCCGGAGACCGGTTATTCTGACGATTATTGTTCTTTTCCTCAATCCTTCCCGGAAGAAATGGAGATAAAATCTTAATTTAGACCATAGCAGATTGCTTCCACATGCTTACGGATTAATCCTCTACTGATCATTCGACACTATATAATCTGAGCTATTCGGAACGCCGTGAAACCTAGAAGTCGAATTCATTCGAGTACTTTGAGAAGCCGCCACTGTACTTTGTCATAGCCGTTATTATTTCACGTGAAAATTAAATAAATTAGGTAGGTAAAAGTTTCATTCAGGAGAAAATTAAGAGCAGATTGAACTCGGGTAATGCTTGCTACCATTCAGTCCAGGACCTTTTGTCTTCTTGTCTGTTGTCCAAAAACATAAAAAAAATAGAATACACAAAACTATAATTTTGCCTGTGGTTCTGTATGGGTGTGAAACAGCCTCTGACATTAAGGGAGGAACATAGACTGAGGGTGTTTGAGAACAAGGTGTTGAGGAGAATATTTGGACCGAAGAGAGATGAAGTGACAGGAGGTTGGAGAAAACTGCATAATGAGGAGCTTCATAACTTGTACTCCTCTCCAAGTATGATTAGAATGATCAAGTCAAGGAGGATGAGGTGGGCAGGGCATGTAGCTCGAATGGGGAGAAGAGAAATGCATATAGGATATTGATGGGAAAGCCAGAAGGAGAGAGATCAGTAGGAAGACCAAGACGTAGGTGGGTGGACAATATTAAAATGAATCTTCGAGAGATAGGATCTGGCTATCTGGCTCAGGATACGGACCAGGGGAGGGCTTTTGTGAATATGGAAATGAACTTCTGGGTTCCATAAAATGGTGGGAAATTCTTGAATAGCTGCAGAACTGGTGGCTTCTCAAGAAGGGCTCAGCTCCATGGAGTTAGGTACGTAAACACACAGAATTCCAACAGATGTCACATGTTATCAGCTATTAGAACCTCTATCAAGGTTGCAATTTTCAACCCTTGGCGTTTGTCAGGTTAAATAAGCCTCAACCTTAACTAAAGTTGATCTTATGTTTCAGGTCCTTAATCAGGCGGTGTCGTATACAATGTTCATGATGAACGTCAAGGATGCAGACCGAGATGAATCTGCACAGTTGGCTCCGAATTAATTAGCAGAAATCCAGCCGGATGAATCCTGTTGTAGCCGAGCATTGAAAATGACAGCAAGAAATGCACTTCACCCGTAGAATAATTCTCTGTCCTTACTTGTAACAATCCGATGCAATTCACGTATTTTCTATCACAGCGCAAATTTCTTTATCTGAGTTTCCATAAATCTTAATTAATCTGTCATACTGAACAGTACATATGAGAAGAGAATTAGGACTCTCAGCACCCTTAATTCGACAAAGTCTCCCTAGCCACGATTCTCCAAGTCCCGCAGTTTCCTTACGAAACTTCCTCATCTCCCACGTAACTCGGCCTTAACCCTTGAAATGACCAGGACTGCCACAGTATTGAGGCTTAGACATAAATGTGGGTTGTGCAAAAAGCCCACAGTAAATTCCGAAAATAACGTTCAAACATCAAGACCGCCTCTGTGGTCTAGTGGTCACAGTTCCTGGCTACAGAACCAGAATTTCCGGGTTCGATTCCCGGCGCTACCAGATTTTCTGAGAAATGGTGGGTCTGAAACTGGGTCCACTCATCTTCGTGAGGATAGCTGAGGAGTTATTTCAAGGAAATGTAGCGACTCTGGTCTAGAAACCCGAGATTAACGGTCATGAGAATCCGTTGGGCAGACCACGCGACACCCTCTATCCGAAAAAGTCTTTTGTCTTTACATGTAATTCAAATTATAATTAAACAATGTATTCTTATGTTCACACATAATTCTAATTATCACTAACATATGTACTGTTGTAACTTCGGGTTTGTAAGTCAAATTGTTACTAACCATCATGTAACCTCTTCTTATATGCAATTCAAAGTGTCACTAACAAATATATAGGTATGTAAGATTTGAGGCTTTCACGGCGGTGACTATGAAGAAAGCAGTCTTCTGGGATTTGGCACCGTGTATATGTGGTGTTAACCGACGTTTCGGAGGAACGTATCGCCTCCATCTTCAGGGTAGAAGAAAAATATATAAGAAATCTGCAAGCAAAGAGACCGTGAGAACCGGTAAAAGCAGACTGGTCTGCTGAAGATGGAGGCGATACGTTCCTCCGAAACGTCGGTTAACACCACATATACACGGTGCCAAATCCCAGAAGACTGCTTTCTTCAAATATATAGGTATGTTATAACTCGCCGCTTGTCACGCTTCTGAAACCTAATTAAAATTATCACTGACAAGTGTATTATTTTTTCTGGCATATAATTAAAATTATCACTGACCAAGGTACTCTTGTCTTGAGGTGTAACTTGTTTTCGAGAGACGCTCGATTCATATATTGGCTGGTACACCGGTAGGGCTGATACTTCTCTTGGTTTCCCTCAGTCCCTTCCGTTAAGCTCCAGGATACCAATATATAATATACAGCATATCGGTCAATCACAACATTTCTATGCTGATGTTCATGATCATGATCATCATCATCATGCGGTTCTAATAATAAAACGGTGCCATTAATCGTTACTAAACTGCTCGCGCTTTTGGTCTTGTCATGTAAGTACGAGGGAAAGTCACAAATTATAGGAACTTTCGTCATAACACATCTTTAGGTTTGTCACACTGCCTTCTGCGCATACATGCTTAGAGTTGGTATTACTGTGGTCACGTAATAGAAGTTTGACCTTGATCGCGTCATTTTCCTTGATGCTGTGACAGTGTAAACATGGCCGCTCCGCTAGCAGTGTGCACCAATGAGGAACAAAGAACAGTGATCCGATTTATCTGGTTGGAAGGTGTGTAAGGGGCTGAAATTCATCGGAGGCTTTCAACACAATACGGGGACAGAAATATTTGTTAATATTAAAGCATTCTAAAATGTCCACATACAGTATGGTTAATGTATTCCGTATGATTCTTAAATTGACTACCGATCATATTACTAACCACCTTAAAATGCCTGGCATCTGTGTGTGTTTTCTGTGAGGTACGGACTGAATTTTAAATAGTATTTACATCGATGTCGCATTACGCCCACGTTGCACTGCATGCCTCACATGCAGCCTTCCCATTGTTAACATCAAAATTTCGCCTTAATATAGCCCTCCCAACGTTAGCAAAACAAACAAACGAACAAAAAATCCGAACATATGCTCTATCTTTACCAGAAGGACAAGGGGGCACTGCCTGGGAACCTTCAAAATCGGAGATATAGTTTCTTCCCCCCCCCCCCCCAATGCAGTGTCTCTCACTACCACCCCCACTTCTGTATCTGTGTGTTCCGCATTACGCAGTACTGACAATTCACGGCAGCTGTACCGGTAACTGCGGTCGCATGTAATATCAGCCAAACTAAGGGGGAGTCCCACAACGGAGTGTACTAAGCGCGATTCTGTTCAAAGCTTTTATCGACAACATTCCTTCAAATACCGACTGACAGCGGCCCGGACACCTCAGTCTCAGGCTGTTTCTCCGGGAGTAAAGCAGCCAGGACGTGAACCTGACCACTCATCTGCGGAGATCAAGAATGGTGGGACTATACCTCCATTACTCAACACGTATTCATTAAGCACAGAGACAATTTAAAGTCTTTCTCACCTATATGCACGGAACCCCAATTTGCAAACCTACGACCATGCCACATTCATTTCCGGCCATTGATTTCATACTGAAAGCAGCTTAAATAAATAGCAGGAAGTTCTACAGCACATCGACATCCGGTTCAGTAAGTCATATGTCCCTGCCGGAATCAGAACGCTTGTACCCCACCTTACCCTAGAGAAGACGAGACAAAGCATCTCGGTGTAACATCAGATAGAGCGTTACCCTTACATCATACAAACGGTATGTGCTGAAATAAACCTTGCCCGGCTCTCTTCCGTCACAGACATAAGTTCCGGGACTTCACATTACAGTTACATCCGCTCTAAATAAAATGTTATTAAGAGCCAGCTTCATCTCTACTCCAACATTTCGGGGCACTATCAAAGAAATATCAATAAAGAGCTATCCCTGCAACAGGCCGTGGAAGCCCATAGCATTTTGAGACGTCGAGGCTCCCATATTTTCTAGACAATCCGCTCACAGATGGCGGTGAGGTTGTCAGCCTTACGCGCCGGCCGCCCTTTACCCCCCGGGAGGATACCTGGTACTCATTTCTGTTAGAGGCTGAGTCGGCCCCAGGGCCATAGTGAGGTTACAAGGATTGTGTCAATTCAAAAAGGAAATTCAATGACCTCATCGGACCTCGAAACGGCGAAGTTCCGGCTTGTAGCACAGTGTCCCAACATGCAACGCAAATGATGTTCGAATGCACTTTCATTCTGATGTCAGCTCGCGCTGTCCGTGGCCCCCTTACAGTAGATTCCCGCTCCTAGTGTTTACTGGTAAAGGGTTAGACTTTAGTTCTGGAGGTGCTCTGTTCAAACCTCGGCTCATACACCGGCTATCCTGACTGGGTTAGGGGATAATAAGGGAAATTTTAGTTCAAGCAAAATTCTGGATAGGACTTCCGTTGACGCACGACCGTTTCCTTCCAAATCTTCTGTAAATCATGATTCACTTACAGTCATTCTACTCACTGCTATACAGTCTGCATACTGGGGGCGGCGTAAATATCCAACGGCCTTGTGTCCGTGGTTTTAAAGTTTTATTAATTTCACACGAAGACGGGTGAAGCACAGGAAGTGAGAACACCACAGAATTTCGTGAATCATTTATACGTCACTGCAACCAATGTCAAGGGCATGTTCAGTAATTCATTTTCTTCCCAACCGAATTCTGGTCGCCAGGTCAAGCAAGGTGCCTATAGAAAAGGCGTGACATTTGACTACTGCGCTGAACAAGAAGACACTATGAACACGGAAACGCGATTTCGTTATTTTAGGATTAACTTCAGCATTGCGGGGACTCCCATCTTGGGCGACGGCCAGTCCGCTGCTTACTCGATGTACAAGGCGACCACGGTAATTATTATCTACGGATGTTGGATTGGAGGAGTCATCGAAACTTTAAGGAATTTGCGGAGTCCTCAAGTGGCGTTCGAATGTGCTAAAGTTTTCCTGCCTGTTACAGCTGCCTGCTGCATTGACTTGTTCATGAGGTAAAATTTCGTTGATTTTTATTAGTTATATCTTTTTTAATTTATTTACTTTAGTCCAGAAAAGTTTTTGCCAAATTCATGTATCGTCCACACTTCTCCCTCGCAGTTCTTCCCCAATATATATTTCCTAACCCCTTCCATTAAACATTTCATACTCAGACGTTACAATCTTCTACCTGAATATGGAGGCGCCAAGTTTAGTCGAAACTCTTGGACCTTTGTACCGGATTGCATGGTGTGACACCCCAGACGGGACTAAACTTCATATACAGATATTACGAGTTGATAATACAGCAAGTCCTTGATTACCGTTGTTTCGTTTTGCGTTCGTGCTGTTTCCATACCAAGGCTCCACACAACGTCGCGTTAACTCGTTATTACGCCGTTGTTCGTTCCATAGTTCAAGTAAATACTGGAAGCGGAGGGCTACTCGCCCTAACAAGTGTTTTGTGTTGAAGCGACCGGCTCGCCCTCCACCTTTGACTCGCTTCACCCTTGGCTATCCCTGAAAAATATCATAATAAAAGTAAAAAAAATGACTGGTTAATGTTTCATACTGTAGCGTGTAGAACTGTTGCTATGCAGAGACGGTGAGGTGAGCGGATATTCCTGGGCCGTTTCTGGACAACGGCTCGGAACCACGTTCCAGGAACAATACAAGAGTTGTGTTTCTTAGGTGGTCCCGAACAGGGGAAAAGGTAACCACAAATACAAACTTCTCTGTTAGAGAACCCATAAGCAGTCCATCCAGAAACTCCTTCTTCAGACTGAACAGTTCACCTGGGAGGACCTCCCGGCGCGGAATGATTCTGGGAGCCTCACTATGGCGGGAATCATTCCCTTCATCCAGAAAGTGACGGTGTACTGGTCATTGATACTTCTCATCCCCAATGGCATCCACATGCTGATTCGCGGAATTGGGTCCGAGAAACTTGGACTCGACATGTGGTTGCCCTTCGACGCCACTTCGAGCCCAGTACATGAAATCATCGTCATCATACAGGTTCGGGCCGGATAAATTCTGTCTGTCTACCTATTTAACAGCCTTCCTGTCTTACCAACCGGTGGTAAAGTACAAAATTTTGACTCCTCTAAAATCCAACCCAATATCCTGAGCCAGTTCCATCCACCTCCCATCATCACAAACTATTTGCGTAGGATCCATTTAATGTTATCCTAGTACTGACATTAGCCAGAACACATACCGTCTGCAGTTGGGATATTATACGAACGGTGAGTGTAAAACACCTGCAAGGGACGGTTCTTGTCTAATCAACGATATATCCGAGCATCTGTCTAGAAGGTCTGAGGACAACCACGAAAATCCTCACCTCCCAAATGATAGTCGAGAATCTTACTCTTTACGATAAACCGCTCGGCCACTGCTCACTAAACGGTTGGGATAATACTGCTAAGGCGAGGCAATTATACATTGAAAGATA